AAGGGGGCTCTGGTGGCCCTGCCTAGCTCTCAGTGGGTGAAGGTGGAGGAGCCTGTTCGTTTTGGAGGCAAGTCTGTGCCAGTTTTATGGACAAGATCATTTTTCACTTTTAAATTCATATAAGACTTCATATAAGTTTAAAGGTATTTTTAAACTCTGTTCACATTTATTTCATAGATGCATGTTTGAGTCCATATTCCAAGCTGCTGCTGACCTCCCCGGCACAGGTCCTGAACCTGGTGGCAGAGGAGAAGGGAATTCTTCAGGCTCAGCTTAGCCAGGAAGAGGACGCTCAAGGGTGCTTCATCCAGAGCGCCCTTTGTCTTTTACAGGTAAAGCTACGTGCACATCTTTGGCAACTAAGACATAACAACATAGACATAAATAATGCAATAGACAAAATAAAGTGAAATAAGCACATTTAATTTGTATGAATAAAAGTTTTTTTGCTATGCCGCTAAATCCATTTTCTCTTGGGTGTTTTGTTTGTTTGTTTGTTTTGTCTAAGGAAGCCAAATAAGCAGTTAACTGATGATGTCTTTATCTGTATGTGTTTGTGATTAGGAGCAAGAGGAGAAGCTTCTGGAGCAGCAGAAGGAGAATGCAGACAGCCTCGACTTGTCCTCTCTGACTATGAAAGAACCTTCTTCTCCTGTGGAAGAAGGGGTGACTAACATCAGCAGTGCCAAGGTGAGTCTAAACCTTCTTTACCCTTTTTCACATTGTTGTATCTCTGGTGATGGGATCAAATGTATCCTATTTGCGTGGTCCTGGTTATGGTTTTTTATCGCCTCTGTCTTGTTTCATCTTTAGCCCGTGCTGCAGTACGCCTCAGCATTTGATGACGAGGTGGCAGAGTTTCCGGAAGATGCTGATGTAGAGCTGCCAGGCTTTCCCGAAGCGATTCTAGAGAGTGTGCTGGAGGAGCCTCCTGCAGCTACAGGGGATTCCACCTCAGAGCTCCAGCTTGAAGAGGAGAGCCCGGCCATCCAGGCAGAGTCAGGCCGGCCCTCAGCCAGTGTGGTGCCTGGACCTTATTACTATTTCTACCAAGGTTGGTGATCCTCTGCTCCACCCATCTACCCAGGATAAAATTCCTGCCGTAATATGTAAAATTTCCTCATCCCTATTTTTTTCCTGCTTTCCATTTTTCTCCGTCAAGCTGATGACTGCCAGCAGATGTTCCTGCATCCCGTGAACGTGCGCTGCCTGCTACGTGAATACGGCAGCTTGGAGGCCAGTCCTGAATCCATCACCGCCACAGTGGTGGAGATAGTGGGGCAGACAGTCACAGAGGTCAGCAAACAAAGAAACAAAAGACTGACGTTCTGTTGTTTAATGTAGTTTTCATTTAAGTCAACACATTTAGTTTATTTATCCCCCTTTCCTTCTTGCAGGAGATCCGCCGCCGGCATCGCTATCTGGCTCATCTGCCACTCACGTGCGAGTTCAGCATCTGTGAGCTAGCACTGCAACCACCAGTCCTGTCCCAGGAAACTCTGGACATGTTTGCAGGTTAGAACACTTAAAACTTGTTTTAAGGGTTTTACTGTAAAGGTTTCTCAGATGAAATAAATCGTCCTTTAAACCTTTTAGATGACTTGGAGAAAAGAAAACGCCTGAGGCAGAAGAAGGCGAGAGATGAGAAACGCAGAGAGAAGCGAATTGAGATTGAGGAGAACAAGAAGCAGGGTAAATGTAAGTATACCTGAAAATTACACCTTTTATATACCTCATATTTTGAAATTGAGGTCCATAGTACTTGCATTTTCATTCCCCAGATCCTGAGGTGCATATTGGACTGGAGAACCTTCAGCATTTCCCAGCATTCGGCTCTCCACCTCACAACAGCAGCCCCCCGATCCAGCCTGACTTCACCTTTGCGCCTCCTTCGCCCCTCAGCAGCAGCCCTTCCTCTGGTAAGATCACCCCTTCCATCTGCCGTTTTTTGATAAGAGTTTCCTCCTGTCAGCTGCCTGTGTGGCTTTTGGTGATAAACGCCATGACACACATAAATTGTTTTTCTTTTTTTTTTTTTTAAACGTCTGTCAATTCAGATGGAATGAAATTCCCAAGTCTGAATACGCCGTCACCTGTCGTGGGTAGTGTGGAGGATGAGTCCCACTGCATGTCCTTTGCACAGGTGTGTGTGGGAACAGTATTCTTTGTGACTTAAGTGGTTGGCATAGCTCAGCAGTGCTTTAATAAGACTGTTTCCTGTGTAGATGCTAAGAGATGGGAAAGCAAGAGCTGATGCTGGGCCCAGGATCACTCCAAAGAAAGGTAATGCAGGAGTGTAGATGTTATGGTGCCTTGTTTGTTACAGTTAAGCTGTAAATGTGAATAATGTGAAATCTCACAGTTAAAATGCCAACTCCTGTTAAAATGAAATTGATTAGAGGTGCCTGGTTGGCTCGTGATAGTAGCTACAGCAGTAAGCTTGTATTTATGGGGTGCAGTTTTAGTCTGCTTTATAAACTGATAATACTTGAGCAAAGAGCCAGATAATGTACCCATGTTGTCATCAAAGGGTTTGTCTGCCTACATCCGCTTACAAGGTGGAATAATAGAGTCACACAGTTTTTGCTACTTTTATTTAAACCCAACTTGTCATAGGAGTAAAATCTGATATATTGAACCTTGGCTCAGAATAAAACCCCAGCCTCATCATTTCTGTTTGTGCTTCCTGTCTATGTGGTTATATCAGTTGTTACAAATTCCACGTACCGAGTGGGTGAAAATAAGCAAAGCTTTTTGTGTTATTGTGCATTTCTGGTAAAACCAGTTTTTGGAACTGCAACACCCAGAGGTTTCCTGAACTCAATGTTGTGCCTTGTACCATGCAGATAAGCTGCTCGCTCCCCCAGCAGCAGACAGCGATGGCGAGAGCGACGGCTCAGACCGTGTCCCAGTGCCCAACTTTCAGAACTCCTTCAGTCAGGCTTTAGGGAAGGCACTTATGCAGTTGGACAGTGGTCCAGTTTCTTCTCAACAACCTGTGGTTGAACCAGGTCAGGAACCTCTGATCCCTCACATCTACTTAGCTGAAGCCTGATATTTCTGACTAGACTCATTGTTTGTTCAGAGACGATCACACGCTCACTCCCGTCTGGGATTTTTCTCTTTCAGATGAAAAAGGAGGAAAAAAGAAGAAGAAAAAGCAGAAGCTTCTATTCAGCACATCCATGGTTCACACAAAGTAGACAACACTGAAGTTCATTTAATCATATTGTTTCTCCCCCACTGCTTGTGTTTTCAGTTTCACGCAGATCTTTCTGGAACTATAAGCTATGGAAAAGGATTTGAGTTCATGCTGCTTCAAACATTGTTCCACTGGCTTCATCACCTGTTCGAGCTGTTTGTCTTTCCATCGGTTTAACTTGCATTTCTGTTGTACAACAAGGCCAAAGCTTTGCACCATCATGCTCGTGTCACAATGAAAGCCTTATGAGTCAATTTAAGTTAACATTCTAAGTATGACACATGCTTCAGGCTTATGTAAGTTCCATGTACTTGAGTGCATCATGGGGTCTATTGTAGGAAACTGCCCCATAGTGTTGCGTCTTTGTCCTTGTTCATGGCATTAACATGTGTTTTTGGTGATCCAATCACAAGTTGGCTGCCTGAGTATGTGTGTTCACACATGCGGTGCTAAGAGTGCAACGTGTACCCAAGATGTATGCATGTGCAAGCCATTAGACCCATTACTAATATAGACAGGGTAACTTGAGGGTGCTTCATACTAGAATAGCAGTCAGCCAGCTGCAGGTACGTTACACCTTTAAAACTTTCCAGGATACTCAGCACCTACACATTATCAGTCTGGAACTTAAATACAGAAGGCAGCAAGTGAGTAAATCTTTCAGTGTTTATCACAGGTCAGTCTTGGGCTAGCTCTTCATATGTATAGATTTGTTGGATTGCCAGAGTCAAAGCTCTAGTATTAATGCCAACATTATGCCTACACATTAAGTTCTAATGTCAGGAAGTGAAAACACAGTATTGTGTAAAAGATATTAGTTCTGTAGGTTCAACAGGACTCTTGATATATTCTGCCTGGATAAACATGAATAGCACTTTTCTTGTCATTCAGTTTCTTCTTAATTTCATCTTCTGTTGTAGGATGTTTACTCACTTTTAACATTATTTCCCCAACTTTTATTTCAGTGTTGGAAATGTGTGAAGTTAGAGAATTATTGGCTTAATGAGTGCTGGTGAAATGAGAACAAGTGGATTTGATTTTTTTTTCTTTTTTTTTTTTTTCCCCGAGGGTTCTTTAATTCACCTTTAATTTTGTCCAAGTTTATAGACTGGTAAGCATAACTAGTCTGTTGCAAATAATAATAAAAAGATGCACAATCAAAGAACTGGTTGTTTGCTACACTTCTTTACCCCCCTGTCTGGCAAAGTGAAACTCTGAAGGTGACTATCAAATTAGGTCAGTTCACACGATCTTATTAACGCAGCACCTTTTTTCTCCACAAGAGGGCAGTCTTAGTCCACCTGATCTGTGTAATAAAATTTAAGTTTTTGTATACTGACTGCAGTCAAAGCTTGGTTAAGAATAGTCTGAGATCAAATAAATGCATAATGCATCTGAAGTTCATGAATTATGCAGATTTCTTTATTCAAATAGGTGTCGCCATTCAAACAGAAAATAACCAGTCAGCTTTTTAAAACAAACAAACTGATGGTTTGTGCTTTTAAACATCGGAACGGGTAATTAATGCCATAAAGTTGGGATGGAATAATATTTTCCCGAGCACATCCTATACTCAGGTTCGTATCCAGTTAAGTTATCCACATTCATCCCGGAAGTTTAAGTAATGCATATATGTGTGTGTGTGTGTGTGTGTGTGTGTATGTATGCGTTACACCTGATGAGTTGTGCTATATAGCAAAAATGTTGCAAAATCCTATTTTATGTTTTAGTTGCACTTTATTTTGAAAGCAATAGCCGGAAGTGCTATGTGGAGCTGGATTGTGCGGAAAGTACTCAGGCGGCTAGTTGCCTGTGTAGTCTATCCCTGTCAACAATACTGCAACCTGAGACGGGATAGCCAGCCAGCCAGTTGGCTAGCTAAGTAAACCAGCTAAGTTAGCTGCTCTGCTAACCAACTGTCACGACTCGTAATTTTTCCCTTAAGTTGGCGGGTTACACTGTGTTAGAAGTTGTTTCGACAAGCGTGGAGGGAAAGCTGACTTTATGGTTTGGTAAGTTGTCTGCAGTTGGGATCAAACAGGCAGCGAAAGACAGGTTCAGACAGTGTTTCCATTTTGTGAGTCCAGCTTCTTGAGTTGTTAGCTTACGGTTGCTAGCCAGCGAGCTGCTTAAGCGTTTGTCTTCCCTCTTGTTTGAAGTCTGTGGGAATTCCCAAACAGCTGAATGCAACACGCTCGTTCAATACGTCTGCACACTTCTGTTTTTTTTCCGTTCTCCTTCTGTACGTTAAATGTGCCTCCCTGCTGTTGGGAGCAAGCCAATTCTTATCTGTCGGTAAACTGGACCGGGCACTGTCGAGGTAATTTAGGTGAGCAGACACGACATGAGGAAGCATTAACACTTGTTGCTGAGATGGAAAACTACAAAACTTAGAAAGCTCATTTATTAGCATTGTTGTTTAGATTTAGTTGTATCATTGTGTGTGTGTGTAAGTGGTTGGGATGCTTGGTTTTCTGTAGCATCCAGTAGGTCCACATTAAATCTGGGTTATGGTTTACTGTGATATAAAACTGTGGTTACCTGCTTCACTGTTGTAAGTTACTTTTAAATGTCAAGATCACCTAAAAACCTGAGCCTACTACATTATGTCCATAATAATACAGCAAAATATTACAGCCAGGCTAAACTCAGTCTAAAGTTTTCTTAGAGAACAGTATCGCATATTTCACTGTTAAAGTCCAGTGAAAGCCTGTGGATTGTGATGTATATTTTATGTGACTTTACCATAGGTGAGAACTAAATTGCGGTAATGCTCATCTTCTTTTAGTTGTTCTGTTGTCTGCATAAGGAAATTTCCTCTGCATAACTGGCTTAGCCGGGTTATTGACTCATTGTCTTTAAAAAGTTAAAGACAGTAAGTGAGTCAGGGCTAAAACAAAACAAAATGCCTCCATGCCCTGTGCCCTACTGTCCTGCACGTATACTCTGAAATATGTCTCTAACATTCGCAGGATCTCTTCAAAGTTGACTATTTAACATCTTCGGCTTGAAGAAATGCTCTTTTCAATTGTTATGTGAGGCTTGCAGTAATGAGTCGGCGTAGGATACTCGGTGGTGTGTCTAAGCCTATATAAGGCAGACGGCTCCTTAATCTCCGCTGTGCTGCTTGTCCCACCATCACAGTGGATGTTTGGCATTCCATCTCAGCGAAGGTGTTTCCTGCCACTATCTAAAGTTCACGTTTTCAGCATTTTCAACAGTCTCTGTTAGTCAAGCGCAAGCCTTCGTGGCTCTGCTTCCTTGTCTGTCCAGTTTTTATGTTTGTATATATTTTTTTCTTTTTCTTTTATGAATCATGGACTTGCCCACTGAGTATTTGGAGCTTATCAGCTGATGTGCTTGATAAGAAGCACAACGACAGGGGCGATCATGTAAAGACGTGACTGGCACAGAAAAGGACACCAAACAGCAATGTTTATACTTCCAACATTTGCTGATTGAAGGCATTTAGATGCAGTAGTGTGAGGACTGCATTGGCGATGGCGTGCTTGTACTGATCGAGGACATAATGCAAATGTAAGAACAGGAAATAACAAGCATATACGAGAGCAGAGTCGATGACCTTTGTTGTGCACTAAATATATATGGGTGTGCCTGTGTTTACTGAAGTCTGTGTCAGTGAAAACATATCTATTTGCTGCTTTTTGAAGGCGTGAGAACACCACAGCAACGCATTTGGACCGCCCTGTTGTATCCCTGCTGTGATTTCTCTACCGTAGCCTTCAGCACGACAGTCTTAACTAGTGAACAGCCTGTCTGCTTTGATGACGCAAAGTGTGTATCTCTTAGGCTCCTTCGACTCCTTCCTCCCGTGTGATATGACATCACGACTCGGTTACAAGAGAAGCTCGAGCTCTACAGCAGACGGTTGACATCTGGTCAGGTAGGATATTATATTCAGGATTTTGATCAAGCGTGCCATTATTTATATAAAAAGAAAATTCAGTTTCTGCATAGCAGAGTAACTCAGCACAACACGTGGAAAGCATTATCAGATGTGGAGAAGGAGTTTCTTAAAGGGCCTTTGTGCTCTTTTCTATCTTCATTATTGCTTTATAACAACAGATAAAGCTGTTTACCAGCATATTGTGTCAGAGATTAGTAAGTCGATCTTTAGTCATCTCATATTTATCACTAAACCTCCTTTTGACTGAATAAGCATTTCAAAATAGACATGCAGAAGTTCATTAGGGGTGGAGCTGAATGTTTGATGGATGGTGGTCTGGTGTGAGTTTGCACTGGAATCTCCCATTTACTGCCTAAGAATGATGTGCGTGTGTTAAAACCTGAAGCAAAAAACAATGACATTGTACAGTTGTCCGGTTCCTCCTTGTGTCAGTTGCCACATGAAAAGTATGCAGTCCTGATCACCACTACACCAGTATCTCAACTTAGTCACACACATTTTACAAGCTAGTTTGATTGCACTGATAACGACAGCCAAGGAGATAACGTTAATGTCAGTTGTTAGAGTCGACCAACAGGTCAAACAAAGGCAACAATTGTGCAGGTTACAGGTTTTAAGTACAAGTAACATTAAAACATTTAAATCAAAACATTAAGTAGATAAACTAATGTTTAATGTGTCTTAAAATACAATAAAATACATTTAAATAGCCATTGGAAATATGTTGTAACTTTTCTCTGACACGGCTGCTGCTTTTTTCACATCAGGCATTTTCATATGTCACTGCAGAAAAAGCACAGGCACAGTGATACTGCTTTTGGGCTCATGGAAGCGTGAATGTTCAATGCATCATAATCAAAGTTGATGTTATTAGTCCCACCTGTGCTGCTGTGTGCTAAGCCATTATTAAATGACCTGTGTCGTGTAAATGTACAAGACAAACACTCACCTTTTATTGGTGTCCGCTCTTTTTTAGCACTAAATATGTCCTGCTTTAACCTAACAATCAATAACCTTTGGCAAAATAATATACATTACTGTGCAAAAGTCTTGAGCCACTCATCAGTTCTTTAGATTTTGCTTGCAATGAGTTAGACTTTATTTTTTTATTTTTTTTAAAGCAGTAGTTTTTGTTGAAGGTATTTCAAAGTTCTTCTTTGGACTTTGGCTGCTTTTTCACTAATTTTCAGTCTAGTGCTTTGTATTTTCCAAAGAATGATTTCCTCAATTTTTTTTTTTTTTGCATCAGCACTGACCTATGAATCATTTAAAAGTAACAAAAGCTGCCTGTAACTCATATGAACCAGTTTTGTGTCTTCACATGTCAGACAACTTGACAACAAACCTGATTTTCAGCATGATAGTGATCCCAAACACACCGCTTCTGCGCTTACACCTTACATGGATAGTGTTCTACTTTGGGTTTTTCTATCAGTCATGCATTGGCCTCCCCAGAGCCCAGACTTCAACATTATTGAAGCAGTGTCAAATCCTCTCGATAGAGAACAGAACAAAATGCAGCCAAAATCCAAAGACGAGCTTTGAATGTCCTTCAAGAAACCTGGAGAACTGTTTCTGAAGATTTATAAGAAATTACAAGAAAGCTTGAGAGACTTCTGCCTGTGTTTTTTTTTTTGTTGTTGTTGTTGTTGTTTTTTTTACATTTCAATAAATGACTTCAATTGTTTTCATAGAAAATTTTAAATAAAGATGGCTCAAGACTTTTGAACAATAAACTTGTGATGGAATATCAGGCACTCCCAAGTTTATAGTAACGGCTAGATTAGGGGATTGTTTAAATCCTTACATTTTTAGATTTTGTGCAGGTACTTTTTTGTTGAGGATCTCAGTAAGTAATATTATTTTTTATTTTCTCTCTGATGGGGTATTTTATCTTTATGCTTAACAAAAGGTGTTGTTCAACAGGATGGCTGCTCAGGTGGAGGTTCAGACTACGGAGGTAGGAAGGACAGTGGCAGGAGGACGACATCACCTGACTCCCCTGACAGACTCCAGCAATAAGAGCCTCATTGACAATCAGCCGCAGCTCATCGCAGCTGAACCAAACAAGCCTGCCCCAAGCGCCAAGCCGCGACTTACTCCCAAACCTTTTTCTGTGGAGAAAAATCCTACAATTAAGCCCATACTTGCCCCAAAGCCTCAAACTAAACCCAGACCTGAGTCCACTCGCCTTGCTGGATACAAACCAGAGCTTCCAAGCAATCCAAAACCACAGCAGCCGGTTTCCAGCAGCAAACCCAGACCACTTTTAACCAACCCCAACCGTCCTGCCTCTACCTCCTTTCGATCACCCACTAAGTTGAACACTGGACAGACAACAAAGCTAGTAGCCCAGCCATTTAAACCAGCACCTCCACATGACACTGGAGGCCCTAGCAGACCCACCCCTCCTCCTGTGCCAGCACAGAGGCAGAAACCCTCAACATCAAGCTTGGCCTACTCAAAGAGCTTTAAAAAACTACCAGCAGCAGAGTGGTCTGGAACCACTAAAAAAGAAGACGAAAAAGGCCACAATGCACAAGGTAAAGTTGGAACCTCCCTTACTAGAGCAAAGTCCATGGGCTTTCTTCTTGATGCAGGGGAAGAAAATGAAGGAAAAGAAAAGGCTCAGCCTGAAACATCTGTGCCTCTGCGACCACATCCTAGAGGCTCCAAGCCCAGACCTGTATCAGCCATTTTCCCCGGCAGTACAACGAAGACGGAGACCCCGGTTCCTGCTCCTCGCTCGGCTGGGAGACGACCCCTTTCAGCTGATCTCACTTCCAAATTTGGGTCTATTGGTCTTTCACTGCACCGGAAATTTCCTGAAGGAAATACAGTAGACAACACTCCAGAGGGAAAAGCACTACCACAAAGCAAAGAGGAAGATAAAACCTTTACGAGTACCACACCACAAAGTACTGATGATGTCTGTAATCCTATCCTCTCAGACCAAAGCAACAAAAACAAAGAAGAAATGGCTGCAAAAGAGACCGATGAAGACAAGCGCAGGGTTAGCGTCAAGTCGCGAATAAGTCTTTTGCTCGATTTGCCGTCTTCTCCTGGGGTAGCTGCCACCGGCCATGGTTCAGATCTTCGTTCTCCATTGCAGCCAACCCCTGAAGGTGAACCAGCAGTTGGTGTTAAACAGCTCATCAAGCAGCTGACAGAGGATACAACACCGACTCAGAGCCCTGTCCTTAAACCAGCACTGAAGCCCCGTCCCTTGCCCCTTGACCTAACCAAAAGGTAAGAGCTGCTCATACTGTCCATGTGCTTTGCTTTTTGTTCTGTGTTCCACTGTCATGCATGGCTTTTGTCTTGTGTGATGTATGTTCAATAGGTTTTCAGCCGAGAGGTCACCTGACCCTGTTTCCCTCACTGAGGCAGAGGACCGTCATTACATCAGCAAAGATCCTCAGAAGAGGGTAAGAGAGGGCGTGAGCTTTGTAGGAACTGGTTTCTGTTGGGCTCGGTCTGTGTTTAACAGGCAAATGAGGGTAACAATGAGAAACTGTGTCACCGTGTGGTGCTTGGAAAGTTTTTCATATGGTGTTGCTCAGCAGAGTTTGATTTTAGTGTGTTTGTTACCATTTCCTGTTTGATTGAAACCCATGCAATATAACATAAAGACGGAAAATACAAAAGAAGCACAGGAGAATGAGCAGTGTGCAAATAGAGGTGAAGCCTCTGACGCAGTTTAAACTAGAAGTGAAGTAGGGAGACACAAATTCAACTCACGCTTTAGAGCTATAGGTACTCTATAACTGTATACACGACTGGGAAATTCATCTTTATTTACCTGTTGAAAAGCACTTGCATTTCCAGTGGACCAAAGCGCCTCTGCATTCATGAGGAAATTTCTTTCAAAGAAATAGGACATTACAGTAAAATGAATTGCTGCCATAGACATGCAAAGCTGTGAAACCTAATACTTCTGATACATTAAACATCCCCAGTGACTGCCAGTTATGAAACACACAAAGAAGAGATCAAATAGGAAAGGTCAATGCTGAGAGACTTTGATTACCACCTCTGCACCACACCCAATGAGCCCTACGTAGAAGAGGATGCTGTTTGTGCCCTGCCAATTGTTCTCTTGAACTCCTCTGTGTGCTGTACTGTTGAATGTTCCATTGCCAAGTCCCATTTATTCTGGCTTATGGTTTTATAGCAGTAAATGGTACCTAAATTCATAACTTTTTAAAAAAGCTTTTAGTTCCTTCAGAAGATTCCAGCTGAAAGAAATTCTGTAATAGCTTATCAGTTCCATAACTAGGCAGTAAGTTGTGAGCATGAACTTAAGAATTCTCAGTATATCTCTTAATTTTCCCAGGCTGAAGAATCAGCTATCACTCCCAGTGACCAGAAGACATTTTTGGATTTAAAAGATTCCCAAGAGCAGCTCAAAAAGGTCTCCACGCCTGAAGGGCCTGAAGCAGGACAGACGTTTGTTGCTGTTTCCAAGGAAATTGGTGCAGGCAGTGGAGTCCAAACGGTGCGAGCATCCTTGTTTGATAATGTCGTGGAGAGGCACAGCGTGGTGTTGATGGATGATGGCTCATCTGTTGACACGGCCAAGGATTTGCTCAGCAGCACGTCTCCATTCGATAGAACAGTTACTGAATATAACGGGGCTTCAGTCACCGCTAACTACAGCCAGCCTTTATCGCCATCATGTTTTCAACCCGTATTACATGCCTTTGACACAGTGCAGGCTGTCGAAAAGAGTCGGGCAGTGAGTGTGAGCGTCCCATCAGCTCAGTGGGAGGATAAAGCCATGACCCTCCGTTCCAGACGCTCAGAAGGGAGCAGGCCTCTTCCAGAATGGACCAGTCCTGCACAAGAACAGCCACCTTTGGCACCTTTGATGCCTCAAACACAGCCACGATATCTGAGGATAGGAGCCTTACAGAAGTGGACCACTACAGGTCTCGACCAAGACGTAGATATGGAGACAGGGATGCTAAAGGAATCACAAAGGGAAGGACAAGTGGCTTTAGATAAAGACAAGGAGAGACAAAGAGTGGCAGAACAAGAAGAAGTGTCTGCAGCACCTAAACGCTTGAAGATGCTGCAGGCAGACGAAATGGCAAAACCCAAGGCAACCTACTTTGCTTTAACCGGACAAATACAGGAGCCAGTTTCTCTTGGGGGTGCAGGGACAAACACTGGGGACATGACTAGCCCCTTTGATGACTTCTTAGGGATTTCTCTCCTTAGTGGCCCTCAAGGGAAGAGTCTTCCAGTAAGGGGGAGCCCGTCTTTAAACGATGATCCTTTTGGAAAAACAACTCCATCGCAAGAGCAAGTTAAAGATTTGATGATAAGAAGCCACAAGTCACCCAGGGAGAGCAGTTTAGCCTCAGATGGACAGAGTAAAGAGGAAAGGCTAGAAGCTGAAAAGAAAAGGGAGCAAAGGAAGGAGAAAGAAAGGCACAGGACTAAGATAAAAGAAATTGAAGGTGAAAAACAGACACAGCTGGAAATGGAGAAACAAGCACATTTAGAATTTACACGAATGAAAGAGTGGGAGATGCAAAGAGAATTTGAAAGGCAAAGATGTAAGTCATTTGAAAAGGAGAAACAAGAATTTGAGGAGAAACAACGTGTCCTGGAAAGGCAGAAACAGATTGCGCTTGAGAAAGCACAAGAATTAGAGGAGAAACAGAGACTTGAAAGAGAGAAGCAAAGGAAACTTGAGAAAGAAAAAAGGCAAGAACTAGAGAGACAAAAGGAGAGACAGCGTGAAAAGGAACAGCAAAAACAAAAGGAGGAAGAGCGGCTAAAACAGTTAGAGCGACTGCAGCTCGTAGAGCTTCAAAGACAGAAGCAGAAAGAAAAGGAAATGCAGCAGCTAAAAGAAAAAAAGGAAAAAGAAGAGGCAGACAAGATGAGACAGATCGCATTAGAGCAAGAAATGTTAAGAATAAAAGAGCTTGAAAAAGAGCGGGAAAGAGAAAAGGAGATGGAGAAGGAGCGTCAGAAAGAGATACAGAGGGAGCTGGAGAAACGGCGACAACAAGATTTAGAAAGGGAGATACAGAGACAGCTAGACAATGAGCAACAGGAACTGGAGAAGGAAAGGAAGAGGAAGGAGGATGTAGAGAGACTCAAAGAGCTGGAAAGATTACAGCTCTTGGAGTTTGAAAAACAAAAACAGGCAGAGAGGGAGAGACAACAACTTCAGGAGCTCGAAAAACTGAGGCAACTAGACATTGAGCGACAGAAATTAGAAAACCAGAAGCTGAGACAACAGGAACTGGAGAAGGAAAGGAAGGAGGATGTAGAGAGACTTAAAGAGCTGGAAAGATTACAGCTCCTGGAATTTGAAAAACAAAAACAGGCAGAGAGGGAGAGACAACAACTTCAGGAGCTTGAAAAACTGAGGCAACTAGACATTGAGCGACAGAAATTAGAAAACCAGAAGCTGAGACAACAGGAACTGGAGAAGGAAAGGAAGAGGAAGGAGGATGTAGAGAGACTTAAAGAGCTTGAGAGATTACAGCTCTTGGAATTTGAAAAGCAAAAGCAGGCAGCGAGGGAAAGACAACAATTTCAGGAGCTTGAGAAACAGAGGCAACTAGACATTGAGAGACAGGAATTAGAAACCCAGAAGCTGAGACAACAGGAACTGGAGAAGGAAAGGAAGAGGAAGGAGGATGTAGAGAGACTTAAAGAGCTTGAGAGATTACAGCTCCTGGAATTTGAAAAGCAAAAGCAGGCAGCGAGGGAAAGACAACAAATTGCGGAGTTTGAGAAACACAGACTGAGGGAAAAGATGGAAAGGGAGGAAGCAGAACGGATGCGAGTCATAGCCAAGCAACAAGAAGCAGAGAGACAGCGACTAAAAGAGAAGCAGAAAAAAGAGGAGCAAGAGAGGCTAAACTTGGAGCCATCACGTCTGAAACCCAAAATTCTTGATCTGGACTCTGTGCTCAGAAATGAACCAGTGTCTAAGTCTACTTCTCAGCGCAGCGATGCTGCAACCCGCTGGAAGGAGCCTTACAAGCCTAACATTCTTGACATAGACTCCTTTACATCTCAAGCTCAGCTCTCCTCTAATAATGACTTGTTTCCTTCATTGGGAATGCAGGGACTAAATGCTGACTTTGGGGGTAAATTACAGCCTACATCTGAAAGTGATGTTAGCTGGAAGATACCATCACAGACTTCAGTAGGTTTCTCAAACCCAGTATGGACGACGCCTCCTCAGGACCCCTGGGAGCTGCGGTCAGTTGAGATGTCTGTGGACCAGCCTAAGGCTGAATCTAGAAAACACGCCAACAAACACAGTCCAGAACAGCTCCTTCTCGATCATGGGGAACGCATCCCAACTCAACAAAGGCCTTGGTCTGCTTTCCTGGATGAGCCACCCCCTTTGGGCCCTTTTCCTGGTTCAGAGGTTAAAAGTGTGAACTCCCCAGGTGGACTCCCCACCATCACTCCTGCAGAGCAGATCTGGTTGCCCAGAGAGCTACAGCCACAGAAGATCAGGGGAGAAGCACAGGGCCAGAGGAGATCACAGGGGTCCAAGGTGAGTGACATAAATCAATTGATCAGTTCCAGAGGTGCCAATGAACTACCCGCCCCCCTTTCTACCACACTTTATTTTGTGATTATTGTAGAAATCAGGTTGTCATTTTCTTAGTTTGTCAGTGCAGATGGAGTCAGATTATCACACAGAGACATGCAGTCTTGTGAAAATACAGGTCATTTTGTGATATCTTACAGAACAATCTGTTCTTGTAGACGTACAAACCATCTAAAACATAAATATAGCTTCTCATGATGTAGGTGGTATCATATATTCTTCACCCTGTCATTTTAAAAGCTCACCAAGTTCCGAAAGCAAAAGCATACGCAAAATTCTTTTTAATATTGTTTTATTTTTAGCGTGCATTAATTTGTGTGCCATCATTCCCTGATTAAATTGGTTGGAGAAAAGAGGCTCCAGCTGAGTTGCCATATTGTAGTCGAGCTAAGTGACGTAGTGGCTAAATTAGTCTAATTCTTGCTTCTTAATAACTACAACAGGCTGTGTCACCATCAAGAAAAATGCAAATGAAATTCAAGTGAAAAAAGGAATATTGATTCAGCACTGCTGCTTCTCTTTCATGATTCCTTAGTATTATCCTCATGTCTGCAAGATATCTAAGGAGTACTTAGATTTGATATAAAGTATTTACAACTATAATGTAGTAAGATGCCTCTTGCATCCAGTTAGATTGCAGTGTATCTGTGTCTGTTCAGACTCGTATAATACATGTAGTGAAGACTTTGAAGTAATTAAAGTTAAACGCATTAGGTGTTTGTGACAAAAGGTATTTGTGACTGTGGGGGCAACATTTAACCTTTCACCACTGAATTATTATCACTTGCATTTCTTGAGTCCCATATTTTAGGTGCTCCTGAGATACTGTGTTCACAAGAATGGGTTAAAGCAAAAAAGCTGATTCCTCAGGCCATGTCTAGATCATAATGATGTAGACATGGCCATGCATGCTAATTATTACATTATAAACCATAACATGTTTTGGTTTTAGAAACAAAAATCAATTTGTTGTTAGTTCCAGTTAGCCACACTCCTTACAAAAACGTGGCCAAATTACAGTCACACTTCACAAGAAAGTAACAAACTGACACCTAAGCAGTGTTTAAACGTGAGTGGACTGAAGTTCACTTTATTCTGTCCAGCTTCCAGCATGACAATGAGCAGCTTTTTACTGTTATGAGGTGATGCAGTTGGATCGCGGTGTTCACTTTGGGTCCTCTATGCTGCTCAGGAGTTGAACAGATTGCGGTCTCGGAGTGTGTCACGACGATCGGTTCCTGCAGGTAGTTCCGTGGATGGAAGCCCTTCCAGGATGAGGAGTCGCAGCGCCCACAGAGAGCAGGACCTGCAGAGCAGGGTGAGTCAGGCTGCTGCTCATTTTCTGCACCATTTTATTACAAATGACTGTTTTCACTCAGCTCTGTGGAAACAGAGAGCATAGTATGCGGTGCCTCATGCACTGAAGACTGTATTGGAATGCAGCTTGCTCACTTGACATGAAAATGCTGCTGGCCTCACATAGTAAAGAGCTAGTGACTAATGTTGAAAGCATGGACGTCCTAGACTCACCTCTGCCCATCCCACATTACATTCTAGGGAAGTGGTGCTCAAACACCTTCTCAGGCCTGTACGTCAGGTTTGGATCAGACAAATGATTAAGTAAAGATTTTCACTGCTGATTTATCAGAAACCTGACAGCAGGGCTCAGAGAAACCTGTGAAGTGAAATGGCATGTAATGATTATGTGTTCTGCAGGTATTTGTGTAACCTTGCTACTTGATTTTGATTGGTTAGAAGTTATATTTGGTTATAAACTTGTAGTTCACCTCTGTTTTTATACCACTGTGAATGGAATAGCTTTTGCTGGGAGTGATAATGCTGTCTGTATATGTAGTTGATATTTCTTGGAAGACTTGATGGGATTTGTTCAAAAACAAAAGATTTTTTTTAGTTTCAGGGATGCACTTATTGGGATTTTTGGTGATCAAAGGTTTCTTTGACCTCATAAAACACCTTTTTGGCCATAACTCTAGAAATTTTGCCTAATTTGTATGCTAAATTTAACAAAAATGTCTAGTAAGACAAAATGTTTTGATTTCAAAAGATTGGCGGTGAAATGTGGACAGACATCAATGTAAGCTGCTGCTTGACTGGTTGGTGGAAGCAACTTCAAGGTGGTTATTCCGGTTTTATATTTTTAAACATGTAAACAAATGTGTCTGCATGTTATCGACTCTACAAATTACATGCACACTCATATTATTATTACATTTAAGGGTGGACAGTGTTTATTAACGATACAGGGTTGGGTTCAGGTTGCGCTTTGTCACTGACACTGTAATTGTAGGCTCAGGTTGAAGTACAGTCTGTTGTGCCTTAACATTACACAGGGAGATCAGATTAAGTCACCACAAAGGTCAAGGTCATTACCACCATCTAGTGGTTGTGTTTTAGTTTGCAAGAGTCAAGTGTTCCGGGTATCTGAATTACTCCTTGTTGCCATTTCCAGTGCTTGTTTGAAAAAAAAGCTTTTCAAATGACCCTATGTAAATAAAAAAGTGCACAGATTTACATTTTAGCTCAGACAACTTTACACATAGTAGAAGAACCGCTGAATTAGATTAGATTTTTAAATTGTTAAAAATAGTTCTAAAAAATCGTACAGTCTGAATGCATTTGTCTCTGTCAGTAGGCCACAGACACTACACAAACCTGCTGCTTGTGTTAATACAGATTTCTAACTAATAATGAGAATATTTGCCATCTGTCGCTGCTCATTTTGTCAGTGAATTGGTGTAAAAATAAAGCTTTCCAAAAGTAATAAAATGGAATATTACACTGGAATAAGGCTCCAGCTAACAATGTATTCATCATTATTGGCTCTAAAACTCACTGTCATCCAGTTTAATTTCACTTTAGACAAAACGGCATCAAATCAAAAGCTCTGTCATTTTCTTCTTACTCAAAAGTAAGAAATGATAATGATAAAATTACACAATTGCTCAGTTCTGGATCATTTTTTCTGTTTGTTAATAAATTCAATATTTCTACTCAGTAGTGATATTTTATTCAAGGTAGCAAGAATTCAACATGTCAACATTCAGCATCAGAATATGAGCAGAGCATCATTAACACAAATACTAAGGCTTATATGCAGGAGCATGACTTTAAAAAAAAAAAGTATTTAGTAATGATAAAAAAACCCATAGGCAGATTCTTAAATCTAGTTAAGATGTTTAGCATATGTAAAATATCACAGATAGTGTTTAAAGCCAAATATGTGGGCGTTGCTGGACATCTGAAATGACTACTTTCCTCAAATTGTATTCACCATAGACTCAGAGACATGAAGTAATAGTAGGGTGGTGACATCACTGGTTTAAGTGTGAGGGTCTGAGGCTGGTGAGTGCAGCAGAGCGGAGATGGGCACCGGGCAGAGAGCTGTGTTGTACATGTGGTCATGTTGTCTCACTCCTTACTGCCTCTGGGTAAGTGACAGCACCACTCATGTTGAATGTGTCTCCATCAGCCGTGCGCGTCTTCTCGTATAGGGCTGTAGGAACTCTTGGTTCATATCATATACAGTAGACTGTATGTACATTAGCCGCATCCTATTTCACCTTCTTCCTGTTGTTGCTGGTTGGGTTCCTGGCTGAGTAAAGACCGATGAGGTCAGAAGAGGGGAAGAGATGAGTCACTTCCTAGCAGATCGTTTTCAGTACTACGATGAGGAATATTTGGTCAAAAAGACATCAATAATATGTTGATTGTTAGATGTTTCATGTTTTATTGTATCACTTCCTTGTCTTTAAATCTTTCTTTTAAAACTAATAGTCTGAATAATATCAATCAAGGAAGCTTCAAATATTAAAACTGTGTGCTTTTCATTATAAATTTGCTGGTATCACCAAAATACTTAATGTAATACTTTATCTTGGAGAAATAGATAAAAACTATAAATATTATAATTTTACTTAAATATTAAGAGAATATTGACTATTAATATTTAAACAACTTAACTATTAGCATTGTGGAAAATAACAAAGTGCAAATACTTTGTTACAGTACTTAAGTAGAATTTTTTAGGACTCTATGTGTACTTGAAAAAAGTTGTCTGTTATTTTTCTGACAACGTTTTGCTTTTTAATCCTTAACTTTTGACTTTCTACTCCTTACACTTTCAAAACAGGCTCATTACTTTAGGGGAAAGTCACTGCATGTCCTCACGACATTAAAGTGATTTGAACATAAATAGAGGGAAAAATAATACATAGAAGCCTTGTAAACAATACAAGCGAGCTACTTTTTACACCGAATATATTTCAGAGCTTGTACTTTTTCACTCTTACTTAAGTAAAGTTGAATTGGTGCTTTCACCAGAGTATTTTTAACACTATTAGTAGAAGTAGCTGTACTTCTACTTAAGCCACACTTGATTAGCCACTTGTTATCAAGCAGCTAATCAAGGGTTAGCAGCTTGATTAGCCACTTGTTATCATTAGGTAGCAGGTAGTGGCTACAGCTAATGATAAAATGAAAATGGTACTCAGTATTGAGTATTTTCCTTAGGTGTACATGTAATTTTGAAGATATGGTAATTAAGGTGTGAGGACTAAATATTAATAAAGTATTAAAGGAGATAGAAGGTTAAAGGTTTTTTTTGTTGAAATACTCGTGTGTGGCAGTAAATTGGAAGGGAAAGGTATGTGAGAGTTTCTATGCTATTGAAATCTTTAGCAGAGCACTTCAAAGAATTGTTAATCAGATTACCTGTAGGGGGCACATGTGGACAGAGATCCAGATTTTAGGAACCCCTCTGCCTCAGTTTGCTCCCAGGTTAAGTCTCTGAAGTGTGTCAGAGTGGCCCACTATGTCTTTATTTAAGGTACAAGTTCACTGGCAGAAGGTGGCTGAAGTGAGCAGCATGTGTCAGGAAGTGTTATTCTTTCCTTGTCTGTTGTGGTGTTTGCATGACTCCGACTCTGGGTGAGATTTAAACAAACACTGAGTTGCCTGTTGTGATTGGTGGTTTTGGCCACGTTGCGCAGACAAACTGGTTGATGTGCATACAGTGCAATCCCACTTGCCTGGAGCCACACCTGTCTTTTGTCTTGTCTCTTTTGTGCCCGTCCAATTTATCTACTGATAGCTTTCTCTTAATGTAATACATACACTTGTCCTCATTCCTGTCTGATTGTATCACAAACCTTACTTTCTCTGCAGCTTTCTCTCTCTGCTCACACACTCAACCTCGTCTCTATTTTTTCTTTCCTTCTACATGTTGTCTGCATGCTTGCGGTCCTGGCTGTGTCACTCCACTTATGTTTCCTGCAGCTGAATCAAGCTGGAGCGACAGAGCACCGCAGAACATATATCACCCTCCCTTCTCCCCCCTCTGTTCTGAATCACGGACCTCCCATTCCCTCTCTTTGCCTCGCTCTTGCTCTCTGTCTCGCTGTCTTTGGCTCTGTCCCACACTCCCTCTCTCCACCCAGTTTCTCCTTGACGGTGAGTCCTGTAACACTCACTATAGAGAGCAGCTTGGCTGACGCATTTTCTCCTACCTGCCCATACCTGCAGAAAAAGGCGAGGGGAGGGAAGAAAAAAAAATTCCTTTCTCTGGATCTGACCTCTCTACCACAGCTCTCTCTTCAGTTTCCTCTTTGCGGCGGTGCATTGGTTGCCCTCTGGTTTTCCTCATGGAATACGAATGACTACAGCAGCTTTCTTTTTGCCACCAGCTGCCCTGCACCATTTCTGCTTGCAGCTTTTTGCCGGAAGATACAATAGTTGTGTGCAGTATGAAGATGTAGCCTTGTTGGAAGGGTGGGTGGATTTAACAACTTTTAATCAGAGCCATGTTTCGGGAGAAAAAGCTCAACACCAGCTGCGAGAGTGTGCGTCAGGTCGGCTATAATTTAGGCTCACATGAGGACAGAGAAGCTCTCACCCGGTGAATTGGCAGAGGTCTCGCAGAGCACTGAGATAAGTGAACGTTTGGCCAAACAGAGTATATTGAGGTGATTTTATCATTAGTGCTCATTGTTTTTGTACTTGATTATTTTTAGTAGTGATTTGTGTTCTTTAAGCTAGAGAACCTGTTGGAAGACAGTGTAGCAGTGTTTCAGTAAAACTTATATTAAGTGGTGACCTTTCCTAACCTTTATATGCCCACTTGGGTGTTGTGCTAGGAATATCACAGCAGACATATCTTGTAAGCATCGAAATAGACATTAGAAAGCTTCACAATCCACTTAATGCCGACAGCCTGGAGCCTTGAAACAAGAGTGCTGACATCTAAAGTGGGACTGCACTGCAGAAAGGACACTGAGTAAAGAAACTGGGTAGATTTTCTCT